CTCAATCACCAAGTTTTGTTTTTTTTTTTCATTTTCTCTTTTCTTTCCTGCTCATGGTCTCCTTTCTTCCTCCCCTATTCCTTGTCCCATTTCCAGTCCTCCCTGGCCTAATCCTGGACCAGTCTGGGACCCAGGGGGGGAGCCTGGTCATTGCTCAGCTGTGTTCTCCCTTCCTTCATCACCGCCCTTTATTTCTTAGCTCTTTGCATCTGGAGAGGAAGCACAGATCTTAAGTGGTCTGCCTTGGCGGCTCGTTAGACTCACCTGGAAAGCTGATGCTCAGGTCCCACCTCTCCCCAAGCTGATTGACTTGAGGTGAGATCTTAGAACAGTGCCTCAGGCTCCCAGCTGATTCAAACGTGCAGCCAGATTGAGAACCACTGCGACAGACTAAGGACTTCGAAATCTCCACCTTCTCAGCTGAGGGTGATGGTCCCTCCCCACAGATAACCATGGAAATTGGCATAGGCCAAAAAGACAGCAGCACTAGCTTAGGGGGTGGGCTAATGACAGAGCTTCAAATCCCCAGCAACTCAGCTCCAGAATGGATGTCAAAGCAAAGTTGAAGCTGCTTCCCCTAGAGAAGGCAGGAAGAAGAGAGATTTAACAGAGGAATGAGGAGGAGGAGGAGGCAGGAAAAAAGTGAAAGTGTAATCGCTTAGTCCTGTCTGACTCTTTGGGACCCTATAAAATGTTAGCCTGCCAGGCTCCTCTGTCCACAGGATTCTCCAGGCAAGAATGCTGGAGTGGGTTNTCCTTGTCTTCTTCTTTGCAGGTAACAAATGGAGGTATAATACATTGAGGTAGCTGGGATATCAAGCCACTAAGTAGAAGAAATCTGCTTCCAGAGCTTCCCACTGATTTACAGGAAGAACTAAGCGTCTGTGGTGTTAATCTTCTGAGATTTTGTCTTCAGGCACCACAGCATAAAATATCCTATCCTGAGAGAGATTCAATAAATTATTTAAAACTGGTTGATGTGTTTTTCTACTTGAACGCAAATTTAAATAATAAAATACCCATTAGGAATTAAAACATCAAATACTACTTAGGAAAATGAAAATTTCATTTTTAAAGTCAGAAAAGGAAAGCAAAACAAAGGCAGCTCCAAACACACACACAAATTCAAAACTGTCGGCTATTCAAAATCTCCTTTGACTCCACATGAAAGATCGGTAAAAATGACCAACCTTTTCATGGAATTAAGACTCAATGAAATATACCTTTCCATTTTTACTACAATTAGTGGGAATGCTCTCCAACTAATTTTCGAGCACTTTGATGAAAAGTGTAGAAAGATTAATGGTTTAGAACTGGGATATGTGAGTGACACTCCAACTCTGCCTTACCTCATGTAGACAGTGACTTTGAACAGCTCACAGGATCTCACTGCAACTGATCATAGATACAGTTAAGGGAATAGATAGCAGATTTCTAACAATTACTCAATTCCAAAGAAAATCTATCTGCAGGTCCCTGAATATTTGCTCTACTTAGCACACAGAGGCCGGTTTGTGTGTGCGTGTGGTTGCATGCGTGTGTGTCTGTTGTTTCATCTCCCTGATCTCTCTCTTTCTTCTTCATTGCTTCTAGGGCTTAGCAACATTCCAGGTCCCCAGCAAAAAGTCACTTTCTCCACAATGCTTTCATTCCTTTTTCATTAAAAATTGTCTCTGTTAAACTACATCTCTTCTGCATCTATTAAACAACCTCTCATATTTCCATGGTGGCTCAGTTGGTAAAGAATCTGTCTGGGATGCAGGAGACTCAGGTTCATTCCCTGGGTTGGGAAGATTCCCTGGAGAAGGGAATGGCAACTTACTCCAGTATTCTTGCCTGGAGAATTCCATGGACAGAGTAGCCTGGTGGGCTACAGTCCATAGGGTCACAAAGAGTCAGACACGACTGAGTGACTAACACTTTCATAGGAAAAAGATTGAGAAGCACAATAGTGGACTATTAGGTTGGTGGCGAGCGGGAGGCTAGATTTAGCCCAAGATCAGGACAGTTTGGGGCTTCTCTCTCTTCTCCACATTGCCCCATATGCCCCACTCAGAGGCCCACTGGCCCACAGTGCAAGTGCCCGTCAGTAGGTTCCGGGGTACAGAGCGACCTAGAAGGAGATGGAGGACTGAACTGTCTTTCATTTCTTTGCAAAAAAACAAAAAAAAAGTATTCGGTTGCACTGAGTCTTATTTGCGGCATGAGGGATCTTCGATCTTCCTCCAGGCCTGTGAGATCTTTAGTTGCAGCGTGTGGGATCGAGCTCCCTGACCAGGAATCGAACCCCAGCCCCCCACAGTGGAAGCACCGAGTCTCAGCCACTGGACCACCAGGGACGTCCCAAGGACTGAGCTATCTAAAGGCAAGGAGGAGAAAGGAAGACTTGGAGAAGGCCATGGTTTCAGATCCTACCCCTGTGCAGAGGAACACTTGTCCCTGCCCCAGTGGTTTCTGCCACTGGAGAGCAGACCTGGAGGGCCGTGTCCAGGGCTCCCTGCGGGCCGGCAGCCGCAGCTGTTGGCAGGGAGTCTCCAGGTCTAAAATTAGCCTCCTGCTCTCCACCCAGGCAGCTCGCTCTGGCAGGCGGGCCCTGCGGTGAGGTAATCACGGGGACAGCGAGCGGGTGGGGCAACAGCACAGGGCAGGGTCCTCCTCCCCAGTGGGCGCCCCCTACCCCCCACCAGGCTGGGGACCCAGGAGCATCTGTGCACAACCTCAGCCTCTCCTTGTGGGTGCCTCTGTGTCCACCCTGACCTGCACTGGAGGCCCACAAGGAGAGGAACACACGCTTTCGTGATGAACGTGCCAGGGCCTCAACTGACCAGTACAGTCCTGTGGGGTCAGAGACACTGTTTCCATCACACGGAAGCCTCAGGGATGGGATGTTCACTGCGTCTGCTGATCTGAGCCTGGGACCCTGGGAGGGGGAGTCCAGAAGCTCCTGCCCCCTTCTTGGGAAGGGGCATCTCTCAAGGCAGAGCCCAAGCTGGAGACCACAAGACCCCCACTGCCAGGTCCCTGGCTTCTGATGGTCTGGTCAGGGAGCCTGTGGTTGGATTGGCCAAAACAAGTGGCAGATCCCGGGCAGCAGGCCTGCCTCCCTGGGCGGAGCACACAGAGGCACTTAGTGAGGGCTGGGTCGAGGTGGAGAGGGGCAGGCTGAAGCTCCGAGGTGGGGCCTGGCCAGCAGGGCAGAGGGGGAGAGGGAGGCCACAAGAGAGATATGCCCGTGGTCACCAGGGCCTGTGAAAGGCCCTCAGGGTCACCAAACCTCTCCAGCCAGGAGCTTCCAAGACCACCTCCTAAAACATCATTGCCCAGGGCTCACCCAGCCTCACTCCTCCCTCATCACCTCCACCCGAGGAAGTGGGAGAGAATGCAGGAGGGGAGGTGGGGGACGGCCACTGTCTCCAGAGTGGGAACAGGGCCCAGCGCACTCCCAGCCTTGCCTGCCTGGGAAGGCAAGATCACAGGGCCGGGAAGGGAGTGGAGATGGATCTGAGTCCAGGCAGCTTCCAGCTCCCCAATCTTTCTCCAGCCCCTTCCAGTGCAGAATCCCCAGTGCTGGTGCAAACACCGCTTCCTTTGGGAACAATGTCAGAGCAACAGGGCATCTCGTGGACCAAGGAGCCGAGTCTGCCCTACTTGAAGAAAAGGAAACTGAGGCCCAGGAGGTGAAACCAACTCGCTCAACATCACAGAGCCAGTTCATCTCAGAACTGAGGCTGGAGGCCAGGTCCCCTGACTCCAGCCCAGGGTCCTTCCCCCCCAAGTCCTCATCCAGCTCAGATACTCTGGTTCTGTAACTCGGCTTCTCCTTTCCTTCTTCCACTAGGACACACCCAATCAATCATCCCACTCAGCAGTGACCTTCCACTCCTTGGCCAAGCATGTGAGGCCTCCCTTCTGCACCTGACACCCCTGCTCACCTTCTCCTTAGCAGTATGATGCCCCCACTCACAGTTCATTCTATCTCCCTCACTGCCTGGCTGTCCACAGCCAGGCAGCCAGAACCCTGCCCCGCCACCCCCCAGGTGCAGCCCCTTTTCCTGAAGACCAGATTCCATGTCCTGCTCCCCTCCTCCCCAGCTCTGGCAGTCCAGGATGCATCCATCAGCTGGTGGAGGGAACAGGTCTGGGCAGGAAAGGAATGTCTCCAGAGTGGGAACAGGGCCCAGCGCACTTCCAGCCTTGCCTGCCTGGGAAGGCAAGATCACAGGGCCGGGAAGGGAGTGGAGATGGATCTGAGTCCAGGCAGCTTCCAGCTCCCCAATCTTTCTCCAGCCCCTTCCACTGCAGAATCCCCAGTGCTGGTGCAAACACCGCTTCCTTTGGGAACAATGTCAGAGCAACAGGGCATCTCATGGACCAAGGAGCCGAGTCTGCCCTACTTGAAGAAAAGGAAACTGAGGCCCAGGAGGTGAAACCAACTTGCTCAACATCACAGAGCCAGTTCATCTCAGAACTGAGGCTGGAGGCCAGGTCCCCTGACTCCAGCCCAGGGTCCTTCCCCGCCAAGTCCTCATCCAGCTCAGATACTCTGGTTCTGTAACTCGGCTTCTCCTTTCCTTCTTCCGCTAGGACACACCCAATCAATCATCCCACTCAGCAGTGACCTTCCACTCCTTGGCCAAGCATGTGAGGCCTCCCTTCTGCACCTGACACCCCTGCTCACCTTCTCCTTAGCAGTATGATGCCCCCACTCACAGTTCATTCTATCTCCCTCACTGCCTGGCTGTCCACAGCCAGGCAGCCAGAACCCTGCCCCGCCACCCCCCAGGTGCAGCCCCTTTTCCTGAAGACCAGATTCCATGTCCTGCTCCCCTCCTCCCCAGCTCTGGCAGTCCAGGATGCATCCATCAGCTGGTGGAGGGAACAGGTCTGGGCAGGAAAGGATGGTGACACCCTTAAGGCACAGCCAAAGGTCCTGAGCAGGAGCTGAGCTGCCCCTGGAGAGAGTCTGGACCACAGACTCCTGACCCATCCACAGCTCTCACCTGTTCTGGGAGCCAGAACCCTTCCGGGGCCTTGCGGGTCTCTGTGCCAGGCACCTCCTCCTCCCTTCTTCTTTAAAAAAGGAGCAACAGTCTTCCCCATTAACTCCAGGGCCCAGCATGCAAACGTCCCCTCACCTGGCCACCACCCACAGGCTGCAGCCGAGGACACCTTCCCCAACAGGTGGGAAGGACCGACCTTCATTCAGGAGAAGGGGCAGCCTCTGGTCCTTAAGTCAGCCTGTGGCCGGAGTAGCTCCAAGCTCCCAGAGCAAAGTGCCTGGTGAAACAAGGGCCATTGTTCTGTGGGGCGGCCACTGCATCCCCCACGTGACCTATTCATGAGTGCCCTGCCAGTTAGGGAAAGTGTTCATCACTCTAGAACTTTCCAGACCTTCTCAGAGACATAAAGGAGAAGAAAAGTATAGAAAAACAACTCTTTCTGGGGGATTTTTTTCTCTCTTGGTTTTAGAAGAAACAACTTTAGGGTTTTTTTCTGCCTTTTAAGCTTTCCAATGTCTAAATATACCAAGCATAATCACTGAAGCAAACCAAGTTATGTACAATATATATTTATCTTGTTAAACTAACAGAAAACGACTTTGGGTCTGTAAGGGGTGCCAAAAGTATTTCATGGTTGTTTCCCTAAAAATATGACACTATATTCTCATTTCCCAGAAATCAAACCCCCACTAAGTTTTATATCAACAAGCACTGTGGATAGTGTGTGCCCACTTCTTTTCCTCAAATTCTATTCCAATTGAATAGCACTCTCTTCCATCAATATTGCCCCAAAACAGGTAGTATTTCCTAAGTGTATAATGAAAGCTTCACTATTGTAAAATGTTCCCTATGCAAATATTTTTGCAACTTTCATGCATCAGAATAAAGCTGAATTCTTATTCAACATATTAAATCAAGCTTGAGTATTATTTTTTCCACCTCCTCTCTGAAATCTTTCAAAGGTGTTTGACCCCACTTATTGCTACCTATCTGCAATTTTTTCTTCAATTTGTCATCCATTTCATCTTTTAACACCACAAAGAATTGCCAGTTCCATAATCTTAAAATGAGGATTACAAAAATATCAGCCTGCATCAGCTAGGATCTTTCTACATAAAAGAAAGAAGAAAACATCTTTTTAAAACTTGTTACATACTTTCCTACCAAAGACTTTCATGATTCAAGGGCTCCAGTTTCTTCTCATTTGGGCTTCCCTGGTACCTCAGTGGTTTTGGAGAAGACTCTTGAGAGTCCCTTGGACTGCAAGGAGATCAGTCCTGGGTGTTCATTGGAAGGACTGATGCTGAAGCTGAAACTCCAATACTTTAGCCACCTCATGCGAAGAGTTGACTCGTTGGAAAAGACCCTGATGCTGGGAAGGATTGGGGGCAGGAGGAGAAGGGGACGACAGAGGATGAGATGGCTGGATGGCATCACCGACTCAATGGGCATGAGTTTGAGTAAACTCTGGGAGTTTGTGACAGACAGGCAGGCCTGGCGTGCTGCAATTCATGGGGTCGCAAAGAGTTGGACATGACTGAGCGACTGAACTGAACTGGTACCTCAGTGGTAAGGAATCCACCTGCAAATGCAGGAGACATGGGCTCAATCCCTGATCCGGGAAGATCCCACACACTGTAGAGCGGCTAAGGCTTTGGGCCACGATACTGAGTCTATGCTCTAGAACCCGGGAGCTGCAGCTACCGAAGCCCAGTTGCCTTAGGCCTGGGCTTTGCAACAGGAGAAGCCACTGCAACAAACCTGTGCACCACAACTGGAGAGCAGAGCAAAGCCCGCACAGCAATGAAGACCCAGCACAGCCAAAAACAAATAAATACCTAAAGACAATTTTAAAAATCAGCAAAATCAGCTTCATCTGTGTATTCCTATTCCCATCCCTCCTCAGCTCAAGGAGGTGAGATAGGAAGTCATAATTCCAATTGCTTCTTTTTGTTTTTAAAAGTCTATGCTTCTTTAGCAGAATGGGCTCTGTTCTGAGAACGGGAGGGTGCAGGGGACAAAAGGACCTGCTGGATGCGGAATGTCACATCATGTCTTGACCGTCCTTTGCAATATGAGAATTCAACATCAACAGGAACTTCCTGGCAGCTGACTTTCAGGTAACAGTAGAGTATCAATAGACAGTGTCACTGGAGAAAGTTCAGAAAAGCCCCAGATCACCCACAACAGCCTCTGAGTCGGGCACATGACCACCCCCAGCCAAGTGGCAATAACTTCAAAGCAAGCTGACTGGCAAGAAAAGATAAACAGATCTGAGAACCAATTATATATATATATATATTTGGTGCACATTGTGGGGGGAAAAGGACCGCATGAAGCCCAGATATTAAAAGGAAGTTTCTTGACTTCCCTGGTGGCCCAGTGGTTAAGAATCTCTCTGCCAATACAGGGGACACGGGTTCGACTCCGGGACCGGGAAGATCCCACATATGGCAGAGCAACGACCGTGCACCACAATGCTGAGCCCGGGATCGCCACAGCTACAGAAAGCACAGGCGATAAGTAAATAAATAAATAAAAGTATCTTTAAGATAAAAAGAAGCTTCTCAGCAAACTAAAACGGATGGTGAGAGCATTGGGTGAGCACCAGGAGTTCTGGACCCAGCACTGCTCCTTGGGCAGGGGCTAAAAACACTCTCAGCCTTAAATCCTTCACTGGTAAAATCAGCTGTTCAGTTGCTCAGTTGCATCCTACTCTTTGTGACCTCATGGACTGTAGCCATCCAGGCTCCTCTGTCCACGGGATTTCCCATCAAGAATACTGGAGTGGGTTGTCATTTCCTTCTCCAAGGGATCTTCCTGACCCAGGGATTGAGCCCACATCTCCTGCATTGGCAGGCAGTTTCTTTACCATTGAGCCACCTGGGAAGCCCTGGTAAAATCAGTAAGGCTGGGCAAACATTACACTTTAAGAAGCAACTCCAATCAGCTTGCAGTGACAGCCTGGTGAGCTGTGATTATAAAGGTTCTGAGCCTGCATCTGGGCTCAGGAAAAGAATTTCACATTCTACTGGAGATGTGTGCCACTGACCCCAAACATTTTCCATTTCAGAACTGAAAAATCTCTGAGGTCCGTTCCTATCCTAGGACTCTTTATGATATGTGAGAGAACTCACCCAAAACCAACCAAAAGAGAGACAAAGGGGCTTTACAAGCTGATCAAGTGATAAAAAAAAATAGCACCTAATATTTAATAAGTGTTTGTTCTTAGTACTTTCTATGTGTTATTTCTCTTAATATTGTCACAACAAAACCCAATGAGGTGGGTACTCTTAATATTCCCATTTTATATATTAGGAATTGGGCACATTGAGGCTCAGTCATCTGCTCATGGATTTAAACTTGGATAGTCTGACATCAGAGACTTGCTCTCAATCAGAAGGAAGGAAGGACGGGAAGGAGGAAAGGAGGGAGGAGGAGTAAAGACAGTGGCAGGTGGCATGCAGGACACCACAGCAACTTCAGAAGGCAGAGGGATGGCAGTGTCCACAGGGAGGAGAGTTGGGCCTGATGAAGTCTGTGCGTGCTGTATTCTAACCTGACCACCTGCCTTGTCCCAGGATCGATCCATGCTCATGGGGAGCATGAAGCCAACTGTGGTACCCAGACACTTCAGAGCCACCTCCGGCTTCTCTGACAACCTAAGCCAGCGTTCACAAGCCCAACCCAGACGAAGGAAAGGGATCAGAGAAAAACATCAGCTGTGAGTTTCAGATAGTTCAACTGACATTCCAGAAAGGGTGAGGTCAGTTGGTACCAAAACAACAACAAGGAAGGCTCAGGGAAAGGATGTGGCTGAAAGCCCGGCAGGCAGAAGGGTAGCACGTGCCTAGAGAGCGGCAGTCAAGAGTCTAAGGGAAGGGACTTACCTGCGGTCCAGTGGTTAAGCATTTGCCTTCCAATGCAGGGGATGCGGGTTTGATCCCTGATCGGGGAACTAATATCCCTCACACTTTGGGGCAACTAAGCTTGGGCACCACAACTAGAGAGCCCAGGTGCTCTAGATCTGTGCTCCACAACAAGAGAAGCCCACACACCACAACGAAGACCCAGCACATCCAAAAAAAAGAGTCCAAGGGAAGACCAACCGGGGGAGAGGAGGCCCAGCTCTGTTCTTCACTCGTGAAGCTACTGCTCTCAGGTGCTCGGTCCCAGAGTTTATACCCAATCCCTCACATCTCCCAGCAGCAGGGCTGCATCCTGGCTCTCTTTCTACCCTGACATGTGTCTCTGCAACTAGGGTTATTGTTGTTCAGTGACTAACTCACGTCCAACTCTTTGAGGCCCATGGACTGCGGCACGCCAGGCCTCCCTGTCCTTCACTATCTCCAGAAGTTTGCTCAAACTGATGGCCATTGAGTCAGTGATGCCATCCAGCCATCTCATACTCTGCCACCCTCTTCTCCTCCTGCCCTCAATCTTTCCCAGCATCAGGGTCTTTTCCAATGAGTCAGCTCTTCTCAATCAGGTGACCAAAGTATTGGAGCTTCAGCTTCAGCATCAGTTCTTCCAATGAATATTCAGGGTTGATTTCCTCCGTGTGGTCCAAGGGGCTCTCAAGAATCCACACCACAGTCTGAAAGCGTCCATTCTTCAGCACTCAGCCTTCTTCATGGTCCAACTCTCTCATAGGTGGATTTAACTGGGAGGATGTCTCCAAGCCAACCAGAGTCTGAGAACTTGTCACCTACAGGTATCAGGCAAGGCACACAGGCAGAGTTCTCAACTAGGGATCTATGGAGAGGGGCCCGGGGCCTGTGCACCTCCCATAAATAGCACTCAAAATATGAGCAGCAGACACATTTCTGGGGAGAGGGTCTCCAGGTCCTTTCCCAGATCCTTGCAAGTGTACACAAGCCACAAAAGATTAAAAGTCTCTGCACAAAGGAGACCAGGGGAAAGTGCCCAGGTCTGGCACTCGAGAAATTCAATCTCATGGAGGAAGACAGATGGACAGAAATAACTCAGAGTCAAGGCAGCCTCTGATAAGTATGCTAACGGAGCACAAAACGTGTGTGTGGGGGAGGGGGGGGCAGAGGTTCATTCCCATGGGGCTGTCTGTAGGATGTCCTCCCCTCA